CATGCTAAATGCTAACCAAGCTGGTACCCGACTAAATATTCACACTTCTTTCTCCAACAAGTCAAAACTAAAATGGCCAAAATGCTAACGTTAAGGTGCAAAGTATAAAAACCAGCTGATGGCATGGCCAGTGGCTATATTTTATAAACTCAGGTTTTCAGGTTGCAGCCTTCTCAGAGCTGTTTTGGTTCTGAGGCATTAAATTGTTTTGTGACATCTTACAGAAGAAATATTTATACGGATACATTTGAAAGGTCATTCCTTCGGGTCCATTTGGCTACTGTTTAAACAATAACAGAATCTAAAACACGACACCAATGATTCGTTGTCTAACCTGGGAGGTGACCTGGTGCTGGTCAAAGTGGGAGAGGTGCTGGAATTTGGAGAAGATATCCTCTGCAGTGGGAAAGGCCTCTGGCTTACTCCTCTTCCTTTTTTGTCCTTCCTCTCCTCCTGTGTATGCAGAGGGTAAAAAACAGAAGAAAAAGAAATTTTAAAAAAGGAAGCAGCAGCTCTCGCTGGTCAGCAGTATTCTTTCCAGTCCGCCAAACAGGCCAGCCATGAAATCTAGTTAAGCTAGTGGAGTCTTATCTTATTCCAGCCTACTTCGAAGCTTCACTGCAAAATACATTGCTATGGAGGCACTTTAAAGAAAAGGAACGAGGTACTTTTTATTTAACAGATACATAGCTGTGAAGGGAAGGTCATCACAACCTCAGAAATCTGCCATAAAACACTCCGGTATGTGCAATTATTACTCCCAAAACCTTAAATCAGACTAATAAGGTCACGTGTATTTGAGATAAAGTGTCTGTGAACAGATGAAAGCTATTAGCATAGAAATTGGGTAGAAAGAAGATTGAGTGATGTAACCCCCTGAGGGTTCATAGAGAACAGAAGGGAAAAAAAGAGCTTTTTCTTTTAAGAAGGGCAGAAGAAAGGCGTTACAAATGTAAAGTACACAAAGAGGAGAATTATTAGTCGGATAACGGCTGGAATGGCCACAGTGGGAGAGCAAGCAATTAACCTACGTGTGAAAAATGTTTTACAAACAACCAAACAGGATAAAGCTTCTGTTTCCCATGTTGTTTTCAGCCAAAACATTATCTTTCATATGATAAACACGGATTATTCTGCAGAAAGATACGGGAGAAACATTCAGTCAACAAATTGGGGGAACATGTATAAAACATTCAAACAATCCCCTGACTCCCATTTTCATCCTTAAAGATGAAAAGTAGGTAAAATAAAACTGTAATGTAATCTTAAAAA